TGATTAAAAAAAATAAAAAGACCCTTTGCTATTCGATTGGCCTTTTGGCTGAACTTCATTTGCTGTTCAGTTTTCTAAGGTCACCATAGAAAAATACCACCAAGTGGTTGGCTTTAAAGAACAGGCGTTTCCTCACTGTTCTGGGGGCTGGAACTCCAGTTCAGGGCTTTGGCAGGGCTATGGTCTCTTTGGATGTGTTCTAGAAGTGAGGATGGCGAGACCTAGTTTCATGTAGTTTGGACATGTTATCAGGAGAGAAGAGTCCCCTAGAAAAGAATATGATGTTTGGTGAAGCAGAAGAGGACACCCCTCAATGAGTGGTATGACACAGTGACTGCAATAATGGGCTCAAACATGACACGTGTGAGGCTGACACAGGACCTAGCAGTGTTTAATAGGGGCACCAAATGCTCAAACTCACTGCTATCAAGCTGATTCTGACTCACAATGACCCTAGAGGGCAGAGGCAGATCTGCCCATGTGGGTTTCCTAATTGGGAGCAGAAAGCTAGATATTCTCCTGTGGAGTTGCTAGTGGTTTCTGTTATCAGCCCAGTGTGTAACCACTAAGCCATAAGGCCTAGGGAAAGTTATTCTTCATCTCCTTTAGCTTCGTGTAGCTCTGGGCATTTCTTGGCTTTGCTTGGCTTGTGGTGAGATTCTCGCAGGCTGTCTCCCCTTGTGTGGCTCCGGTTCTGAAGGAATTAGGCCTCATCCTACTCCAGCATGATGTCATTATTTAGCAGATAATATTTCCAAAGAAAAGCCCAATTTCCACAAAAAATTTCACATTCACTAGTACGAGGGCCTATCTTGTTGGAGTGGACAGTTCAAGGCAGAAAATGAGCATACAGTCACCAGGCAGACATTTTTGTGATTTCACTAGTGAATTCTTTTCTTTCCTCTTTTACTACAACTTAGTTTCCAGCTGGTCTTCTTTCTCCCGGTTTCTTCCCCTTCCGTTGTATCCTGAACATCTTCCTTCCCCGGCAGCCAGGCCCCAACCAAGCCAATCAACCCTTTCACTGACTCAACACTGATCGCAGGGCTGCCAGTATCAGGAACTTGCCACTCTCCTCCTCAATCATGTGTAATGGTGCTCTATCACCTTCTGCCCTGTTTCCCAAAGGGGGGCGATAACCCCCTCTTGGAGGTGCGAGATCAATCCAAACTCGAAACCCAATCTCGCTGCCATCAGTCAGTTCTGACTCATCGAGACCCTAAAGGGCAGGGTAGATCTGCCACTGAGGGTTTCTGGCACTGTGACTCTTAATGCCTCATCTTTCCTTCAGACAAAACCGGGTACTTTATTTCAGTGGCGGGGGGGAGGCAGAAAGTGCTGAGTAATGATCTACTGAAACACAAAAGCTAAAGACACTAAGAAAACAGAGGAAAACCTCAATGGAAAAGAAAGCAGGAAATATTAAAAACTAGAACTTTAAAATGGGTCCAAAGGGAGATCAAATGATAAGGTGTCAACTTTTAGCTTATCTACATCTGCCCTACACCACTTCCAAGGGCATTCTACATGTTAACAAGGCTGTTCACATCCCTGGTCTGTGGTCAGAGGGAATTCACCAGAGGCTTCATCCACGCGTATTTATCCCTCAGTTATTCTTTTAAACTGACATAACTTTCAAATGGGTCAAAAGGGGATCAAATAAGATGTTACATTTTAACCTAACTATATCTACTATAATGGTTTCTACAATACTCTCTCTCTGATAATAAAGTCATTCCCATTCCTAGACTATGGCCAGAGGGGATTCATCAGAGCTTAATCCACGAGTGGACCCTGCAAATGCTGTGGGGCCTCCGCCATCATCCACAGCTTTCTGAAAACTGAGTGCTCACAAGGTCAGCTCTGATACCATTCCCTCTTTCAGATTTCGAATATATTATTTACAAGAGTCTATCTTTTGTATCATTTTACTGGGGGCTCATTACAACTCTTATCACAATCCATACAGCCATGTCTGTGTCAAGCACATTTGTACATTTGTTGCCATCATCATTCTCAAAACACTTGCTTTCTGCGAGTCTATCTTATTTTTAATCATGATTGTCTACTCCAGATAGATACTAAGCAAGCCCTTTGCATGTACACAATGTTCATTTTAATTTTTTTATATCTGTGTACTCCTAATACAATCTTCCTTCCAGCAAATTTCCAACCCTCAGTCTTTTTATCAAAATCTCACCAAGATTCACTTCTTCTATGTGGGATTCCAGGACAATTCGACCTTGGTTATGCCATGACTTAGGGAGCACCAGAACCAAATGGAAACATAGGGAGCAGCATAAGGGTTTTTCTTTTCTTTCTGTATCATTAAGGAATGATCCTGGCATGGCACAAATGGTTTACGCTTCACTACTAGCCAGAAGGTTGGCAGTTCTTCCATGGAAGAGAGGCCTGGTGATCTGCTCCCATAAAGATTATATCTAAGAAAGCCAGACGGAGCGGTTCTGTTCTCCTGGAAGCTGATGTTCATGTGTTCCACTAGTCCTTTCAACTGTTCCCATGTGTTTTTTATTTTCTTCACTCTTTTTTGCTCCAGAGAGTAAAGACCAGTCCGTACCTTACATGGTCACTTTCAAGCTGTTAGACTCTGGTTGCTACTCATCAAAGTAAGATGTCTATGTGAACTGTGTGATGCTAGTTCACCTTGATTTACCTGGAAATTATGGTCCTGAGCCTCCAAACCCAGTAATTCATGTCCTCAATGCATAGGGTTATAGCTAAGGTGTTTTCATAACATTGCCCTAATATGCCCTACAATAACCATGGGTGCATTTGTATCACATGCAAACATATATAGGGAAATATTCTCTGTCAAACCGCAAGTCATCCCATTGGCCTTTCCATACCTGTTCAGCTTGAGTGTCTATCTATGGACCCACTCATATATTATTGTAATTACTGTTAGTGCCGGATTGCATATTTAATAGTATTTACTTTTGTTGCCTTTACCTCTGGTGGTCCTCTCAGTGTCTCATTTTGTCTTAATCATGTCATGATAACTTCCTCCTTATTGTATATCGCTTTCTCTGCACCCAAGTTAACATGTGCTTGCCATCATCCCCGGCATCACCTTGAGGAGATTGAGTTAAGAGATCTGAGTCTGTATGGAAGCTGTCTGCTACACCTCTCTGCTTTGGAATGACACCTGGGTGCAAACATCCATCCCAGGGGGGCATCCTACTACGTCCTACTGGGTTGCTATAGTCTGAATCAATGGGGTTGGGTTTTTGAAACTCTGCAACAGGTTTCTTCCATAGTCTTGTCAGGAAACAAAGTCAGAGCAACCACATACTGAGGTTTAAACCAAAGTTTCTCCATCCAGGCACTATTAACAGTTTGGGCTGGATGCTTCTTGGATGTGAAAGACTTCCCTTTGCATTGTAAGATATTTCTCAGCATCCCTCGGCTTAGCTCGTTAAATACCAGAAGCACTGCCTACCCCATTAGAAGACCCATAAAAGGACTCTATATCTAAAGAGAACTAGGCATAAAGGACCCTGAGCCTGGGAAGAGTTCCACAAACATACTGTCGTATGAGCAATTCTGCAAGGCTCATTTAATAAGCAACAGCATTGTGACTTAATCCAAATACAATTGAAAATGCCCCCAAAGCTATTATTTAAAAGTAAACTTAGCTTGTTAAGAAAACAGTGAGAGTAGAGATACCAGGAGGATTAGGGGAGGGTGGGGAAAGAAACGGGAAATCAGTCACAAGGATCCATCTATAACCCCCTCCCAGGGGAACAAACAACAGAGAAGTGGGTGAGGGGCAACAGAGGACAATGTAAGATATGAAAATAATAATCTATAACTTATCAAGGGTTTGTGAGGGAGGACAGGCAGGGGGAGGGAGGGGGAAGAAATGAGGAACTGATATCAGGGGCTCAAGTGGGAAGAGAATGCTTTGAAAATGATGATGGCGGCACATGTGCAAATGTGCTTGACACACTGGATGAATGTATGGATTGTGATAAGAGATGTAGGAGCTCCCAATAAAAATATTTAATTATAATAAAAAAGAAAACAATTGAATTTGAAGACAGTTCCTAAAACACTTTTTCTAAGACAATTAAAAAATAATGAAATCATTTAAAAGGTTACCATATACAAAAAGTTCAGGAAATAATTGACACAATCCAGTCGAAAAGACTTCCTGCTGGTATGACACAACCATTTGCCAGGTCAAAAAGCTTCTCAAGATTCAATATAGCTGGCATTGCAAGATCGAATGGAACCTAAGGAAAAGCACAGAAATTATTTATAAAAATGCATTGTTTGAAACTACTGACTGAAGTACAATCCCACATTATCATTTTCTATAAAAGATAATTAACTCCCCGTTGATGATGATGAGGATGATGATGATGATTATGACCCCATTGGTGATGAAGTGATTACCGGTTGAGCTGCTAACAGCAAGGTCCACAGTTCAAAACCAAGGGGCTTTCTTTCCACTATTGTAACTCTCAGAAACTCACACGGGCAGTTCTACCCCACCATATAGGGTTGCTATGAGTTGGCATCGACTCAATGACAATGAGTTTTGTTTTGGTTTTAAGGTAAGTCACAAGGAGCCCTGGTGGTGCTATGGAATAGCAATGGCTGCTAACTCAATGGGTCAGCGGTTCAAACCCACCAGCCATTCTGTGACAGAAAGATGAGGCCGTCTGTTGCTGTAAAATTGAAAGTCTCGCTGTGAGTTGAAATTGGCTTGATGGCAGTGGGTTTGGTTTCAGGCTGAAGATAAGTCACAATGCTTAATATTGCTATACTACTGAGATGGCACCTATATAGTTCTATATCCTATTAAGATTCATATGATAAGCTACACACAGAAGCGAAACCCTGGTGGCATAGTGGATTACAGGTTTGGTTGCTAACTGAATGGTCAGCAGTTCAAAACTACCAGCTGTTCCAAAGGAGAGAGATGAAGCGTTCCTCTCTCATAGAGTCACAGTCCTGGAAACTCACTGGGGCAGTTCTGCTCCGGGTTGTTATGAGTCACAACCCCCTCCATAGCAAGGAATGAGTGTGAGAAAAAATTACAACATACTTTGAAATTATGATTTCTTTTTTGCATTTCCATAATCCTTGTACATGATTCTACATGTAGCATTTTTGGCCTTGATGCTAATGAAATGCTTCCCTTCATAACAGATTGACCTCTTGGCAAAACTTTACCTCCTTCATTCTGTCCTGTTTGGAGTTCACTGTCTACAAGAGACACCGAGTTACCATGACCCAAGACAAGTTAGCTGAAGTCATCCTGAGAAGGCTAAAAACTAGAAACTGAAGACTGCTTTAGTGGTGATTTGATTGAAGGAAGGACTGGGAGACTAACACAAGAATAATGAAAAGAAAATAGATGTTTATGGGGGAACCACTTCATTCCAGTCTAAATAAATACTTTGGAAGATGAATGAGCAAATACCATTTAAATCAATCACAATGAATTAGATTCTGTGGGTCTGAGTCATGGTAAGAAATTAGAGGGCAAGTTTTATTAATTTCTTATTAAGTTATTAAATGAACTACTCATTCCTTTTCTTCTTGAGAAAGCATAATGAAACCCATAAGTGAAGCCTTGATTTGTTACCTTTTAAAATCTACTTTATTTATTTATTTATTATTTTTTCAATTTACTTTTTTTGTTTAGAAAAATAAGCAAAAAGCATTCCAGCACTTTTCATAACTTCAAACAACACAAAGATGAATAAATAAAAACAATATAGTTTCCTTTCCTTGTTCAAGCTTGATGTAATCGGTGTTATCAATCTGGGGAACATCCTTTAATATTATTTTTCTTTCTTAAAAAAACTTAAACAGTTTTGTTGGCATATAATTCACACCCATACGATTCAATGGCTTTATACATGACAGAGTTGTGTAACCTTCACCACCATCAACTTTGGAATAGTCCCTTCGTTTTTGTACTCCTTACTATTAGTTCTCCACTTCTCTCCAACCTACCCTACCAGAACCCAAAGAAAATATTAATCTAGTTACAGTTTCTATAGACTCACCTGTCCTGGGTTTGATATATAGAAAATCATCCCAACTCCTCCCCTTCCAACAGCAACAAGCACACAAAACACAGGGAAACCTCAATAGAAACAAAGCAGATAATAATAAAACCTACAACAAACTGAAAATGAGTCAAAAGGGATGACAAGGTGGTAACATTTAACCTGGTTCTAGCTACACTAACTCATTTTCTGATGCACTCTGTCTAGAGCAAGACTGTTCACAACACTGGTCAATGGTCCCAGGGAATGGAGTGCAGGCTTAATCCCTATGGTTTAATCTCAATTTACTCTGGAAATGGATTTGGGGTTTCCTATGTCATCCATAGCCTTTTGCTAACTAGGTACTCAAAATTTAAGCTTTAATACAATCCTCCTCTGATGCTGGACTTCATTATTTACAGTCCAGGCTGGTGTGCTTCTTTCAAGCTGGTGGACTTAGCTGACACCTTACTTAGCTGGCTGCTTGTTTTAAGGCTTCTGAGACCCAAGACACTATTTTTCTTGATAGACAGGCTATATCTGCTCTCTTCCCCATACTTTTCTATAACACGCATATTTTCAGTGATCCCTTCTTGAGAGTAAGTATCAATCAGGGTTGAATCAGACTGTTCTTACATTAGGGCAC